CTTCTTGTGAAATAAACATATACACGCTCGTCGAAACGAGCTAACATATATGATAAATAGGAAAAGACATACCTTCATTCGTCACATTTGATTGACGGTAAAAAGTTACCTGCTGCATTTCATTCACTTCATCTGGTAAGATAAGAGTAAGTTTGGTAATAGGTGAAACTACTAAATTAATCTGATCAACGTTGAAATTCACTGAAAAAAGTTGATCAAAAACATATTGAAATCTTTGTATCATTTTTGTAACTGTCGCATCTTCAAATAAATCACATGAACAAATAAAACGACATGACAATATGTTGTCATCAGAGATTATATTGTAAACAAAATTCAACCTGAAATCAAATTTAGCCACTTCCGAAGACTGTTGTAATGATACTGGCTGTAAACTAACATCATCGAAAGTAAACTGATTGTTAACTGAAGATACAGTGTCAAAATCAAAAACTGTTTGAAGAAAAGGAACAGTCGATTGATTAAGATAAGAACCACGAATAATATGTTGAAGTGGATAATGAGAGTGTTCAAGAATTGATAAACATTTTTCTTGTACATATTTAACTACTTCATCAAATGACCATTGAAGATCAAGTTCAACACGATATGGTAATGTTGAAACAAACATTCCAATCATACTCTGTAATTCAGTTCTGTATCTGTTTGCATTAAGACAAGAAATACACAAATCATTTCGTCTATATGTTAGCTTAAAAAGAAATGCATAGAATGTAGCTAGACCTAGTTGAAATGGTGTGACTTGATGTGAAGATGCATAATCGAGAAATGATGTCGAAATCTCATTATCAAATGAGATATGAGCAATGAAAGCATATCCAGATCTTTGATCACTATATAAGCAATGTCGATCAACTGGCAATGACAATCGACATTCTTGATTGTATCCATTCAGTTGAGAACGCCAAAATTCACTTGATGGTGTCATATCGATTAGACGCTCGTGAACACTATAATCAATATATTGTAATGATCCTTCATCATCCATACACGTCATGTGATTATTGTAAGTATTACATAAATCATTTAAAAAAATTGAGCCAGCTGATTGATCAACTGCAGCATGATGAAAGCCGATAACGAGAACATCAGAATTTGTAATAATTTCTTTATTATAATTTTCGTCAGGTGTCATCTGTTGCTTGAGAATTTGACAATAAAAAACACGACCACCTGATAAATCGAACAAATTAGGATTAGTACTTATTTGTGAGATAATGTTGTGGAGATCAGTTTCACTTTTGAATGTTTGATCGGCAGCCAATGTAAATGTCAGATGTTTATTAGTGATAGATTGTTTCAAAGTACTATCCTCTTCCTTGAAAACTAAAGAAGTCCTTAATATCTTATGTTTGCTCAGAACACAGCGAAGAGCTTGCAATAAACGATTCATTGATAATGAACCTTTCTTAACTCTTAGAACAGCCAACTCATTGTAAATGGCATTTTCTCCCGAAAAACGCATTTTCTCATCAAGAAATATGCGTTCTTGAGCATACGACGCGATACCTACAAATTTGTGCAAATAGTATCATTAGCTATTGAAAAAGTAAATTAAAACTATCTTACCTTCGTTAATATGCAGCGTATGCCATTGTTCTAGTTGTGCACCATCAATAATGACTGTTTCAAGTAGTTTTGCGTGTTCTACTATAGTGTTATAGTCAAACAATGATCGAATACTCAATGCTTCTCTTTCAAAATTAAATTTTGATTGATAACGTTGATAGATATTAACAAGTAAAAGAGAATTGCCGCCAACGCTGAAGAAACTAGTTGTAGTAGATATAAGAAAAGATGTTTGTCTGTCTATACCAGACACATTTATAGCTGGATCATCATGATGTATAGTAAGTCGATTTGTGTATAACACTTCTTGCCAAATGTTCGCAATCATCTTTTCTAATTCACTATTTGGTGCATTATAAGTATCTTCTTGTTGAAGCACTGACAATGATATTTCTGATAAAGCTTTTCGATCAATTTTACCATTTGGACTTAATGGAAACGATGAAACACTTATTAAATGGGATGGTACCATATACATTGGAAGCTTTTTTGTTAGATATATTCGTAATGTTTCACTCCAGCTGGGCATTGATTTTACTTTTGAAACAGTGTGTTCACTTTTCTGGTCATTACTGATCTTTCCAATAAGTAATATATGTAATATGTTACTTCCATTTAGTTTCTCATGAGTAAGAATAGTATCTAATACATCATTAATTTGTTTTGGAAAACTCGTACGGGTACCAATTGGACACATACCAATATTCATTTCTAAACAATGATCCATTAAGAAATGTGACATCTTTCCTATATTCATTGTGTGTTCTGATCGTCCGATGAAAAAGATTGCACATTGGCAATCATGGAATACAATCTTTGCATCATTATCATCATCAAAGAACAGTGGTATTTCCTCTTGTGTAGTTTCAGTTTTGACATCAAAAGGTGTAACAGTATCATATTCTTTGTTATAAATAAACCATTGGTCTTTGTTATTGTTGATCGATTTAAGATAAATAATACATTGATAATTGCCATTTTGTACATTACTAGATATAGCCTGCTCAAATGATGAAATTTTGAAACAACAATGTGTGTCATCCTCATCCATATTCAGAATATTCCGAGTTATAGATTCATTATGCGTATTTTCCAAGAAAGTCAATCCTAATCTTGACCCTTCTTTTTCCAATAATCCCATGATATATCCTGTTTCTAGCATACAAAATTGAGAGCCCAATCTGTTACCATATAACGGTGCAATTGCTGATGATCGTCCAACAAGATGTAATCTTATATCCACCATGTCATTATTAATATGAGTACTAATCAACTCTAGAGTATGTTTATCTGGATTATGGTAGTAAACACCAGGCAAAATATTATTTATCGTTGTTGGTAATTCAACATATACTTGTACTGGATAAAGACTACCAGCAGAAGCATAACGATATTTTGGTAACGGTTGATCAGAAATATTGATCGGTGTTAATACTGCTAATAGTTGACTAAGAAGATCAAAATCAAGATGAGCTAAAGATATTTTCTCGTTCTTATTGCTATTGTGACCATTTTTTAACAACTTTTCGATAGTAGATCTTTCAATAATTTCATTTGTAAATTGTCGATAGCTTTTTCTCATATAATATGTATTGATTAATGTTTCTGTAAGCTTTGTTTTTGTTAGAGCAAAGTTCTTTTCTAACCTCATTTGATGCCTTATACTATGTGTTGCAAGCTTGAAATTGATACGCTCAATAGGATCAGTGATTAATATCTCTGCTGAATTATATTCTTCATTATGAATAGAATGTTTTTTTGGCATAACATATCCAACTAAGTGTTGGGATTTGTCATCAATATTAACAATAGCTTGTTGAATATCTGGATGTTGCTGTAAATGATGTTCAATTTCACCAAGTTCAATACGATGACCATGTACTTTTACTTGAAAATCTTTCCGTCCCGTAAATTCAATATATCCATTTGGTAGAAATCGACCATAATCACCTGTTCGATACAAACGTTCTAAAGTGGTTGGATGAATAATAAAGCTGGAATCAGTTTTGACTTGGTCTTTCCAGTAGCCATTAGCTAATCCCATACCACCTATGTATAGTTCACCAGTGACCCATTCAGGACAATCATCAAGATGTATATCATAAACATAATATTGTTGATTTCTTAATGGTATTCCATAAGGAATTGATTTCCATTCTCGTGGTATTACTTTTGGTAGAGTATAGGCAATTGACCAAATAGATGCTTCTGTTGCACCACCTAAACTAGTTATTGTTATTTGTTCACTAAATATTCTTTGTAACGATTTGGGTAATGATAATGGTATCCAATCACCACTAAGTAAGATATGTCTTATTTGATTATGTTTATTATTCGTATGTTTAAGATGTTCATCAAACATTTGCATTAACATTGGAACACTATTCCAAATAGTGACATGATGTTTAATTATCATATCATACCAATGTTGAGGATTTTTATAATCTTCGTGATTTGGAATTACTATAGTTCCACCACTAATTAACATGCCAAATATATCATAAACTGACAAATCAAAGTTGAGATGTGATAAGGCAAATACTCTATCATTACTTGAGATTTCTAATCTTGAATTCATGTCTAAAATAGTATTTACAACAGCTTGATGGCTAATCATAACACCTTTTGGTTTTCCAGTTGATCCAGATGTATAAATAACATAAGCTAAATCAGTTGATGACTGTTGTTTGATAGGAAATGGTATTGGATAATTATCATTAGTTGTGAGTGTATCAACTGAAATAGCTGTTAAATGTGGAAATCTATGTTGACAATGGGATTGTGTAAGAAGAATTGTGACATTAGTTTCTTCGATTAGTGAACAAAGTCGATTGTACGGTGCATCAATATCCAAAGGTAAATAAGCACCACCTGAAACTAAGATAGCTAAACAAGCAACAATCTGTTCCCATCCTTTTGTCATGAGAATAGCAATTAACTGATTGGAATATGTTTGTTGTTGTTGTTGCAAACGGTATGTTAAGGAATAAACGCGACTCATTAGTTGTCCGTATGTTAGATTTATTTGAGAAGAGAGAATAGCTAATGCATTGGGTGTTAATTCAGCTTGTTTAATGACGAGTGAATGAAGTAATTTATCTTTAACGTTTAATTCCCATTGTGTTTGATTAAAATCAAATCGTCGTGCTTGTTGTTCAGATGGTAAAGAGACGAATATGGGCTTTTGCCACAGATCATCAAATGAAGCCAGTTTGACAAGTAAATCAATAAATACATCATGCATATGATTGAGCATTTCCTTTCGAAGTAAACTGTCTACATATGTCCAATTTATTGATAAACAGCCATTAATTTCTATCAGTATATGATCAAGAAAAACTTGTGGTGTTTGACTAATCACATAAACCGGTTCTTGATCAAAAAACATATTGTGCTGAACATTTTTCTCACGAACATCTTCAACATCTACTCCACATGTGAAAACATATGGTACAAGAATTTCTCTTGTCTTATGCACCTGCATTAAGTCACGAATAAAAGACACACCATCATAAGATATATGTTCAAGATCGTTCCACAATTGTTTCTGCACAGTGTGAAGAAATTCGTAATAAGTTATTATCTTATCCAAATTAATTTCCAATAGTATAACTGTTGTAAAATCTCCTGCTATTTGATTAACTTGCGAATGAATAGGTAATCGATTGAAAACTGGTAGATTCAAAGCGAAATGTTTATTATCGCTCCACTTACTCAATACTAAGGCATAAATTGACGCTAAGAAACCAGCTGGTGTCAATCCATGGTCGGTAATATTTTTTCTTAATTTTTGCCATAATGATAGATCTAATACTGTTTCTACATTGCAATGACGTTGTACATGTATCTCGTTTGGCAAATATTGTAATGGTAAATTTGGGCCTAGTGGAAATGATTTTAGACGATTTATCCAATATTGTCTATCATTACTATAAGTGGTCGTATGCTTCCATTGTTGTTCTGTCAGAATGTAATCTCGATAAGATAGTTTTAGATCTACTAAGACATCATTCAAGTTACAATACAACTGATTCAATTCATGTAAAATTAAATTTATGCTCCAGAAATCCAAGATGAGTATATCGATACCAAAATGCAAACGTATTTTGTAACCGTTATCACAAATAAAACGAGTTATTTGAAAATCAAATAATGGCCATTGATCAGCTGGTCGAATCTGATGTGATAGTTGTTCTCGTCGTTGTATCAGATATTTTTGGCAAGATTGAACATCATCTAAGTCAAGTATAGATATAGTATAATAAGGAACTATTTTGAGAATTTTCTGTTCGGTATGAGACGGAAAGATAAGACGCAATGCTTCATGGCGTTGGATTAAATAATTCAATGCTCGTTCGAAGCATTCGATATCGAACGTTGACGAGAAATCATATTCCTGATAAGCAAAAGCAGAAACATGACCAAGATCCATAACACCTTCACGTCCCACTAGATATGCTTGTTGAATATCTGTAACAGGAAATGGTTCGTATCTTGACAACTCATCTGCAACAAGTATAGTATTATCTTGAGAGATTGGGCAGGCACGTTTTTCAATAGATGTTTCTATTAATACAAAGAAAAAGTAAAAAGTAATAAGTATATGAAATTCATTAGGCAATACAACATACCTTCCGTGTTATGTACAGCAGATAAAAGTTTTTGATATGTTTCTAAATCACCTATTGATTGATGAATGAGGCGAGCATGATCAACAATAGTGGTATGTTGGAAGAGTTCAGAAATACTGACCTTAGTCGTATCAATGTTGAGTGTCATCTTGTAATTCTGATATAACTGAATAAGTAAGAGAGAACGACCACCGATACTAAAGAAATTTGTATAAATAGAAATTCTATCGTGACGAAGGATCTGACACCACAATGAATGAATATAGATTTCAAGTTCATTGCTTGGTTCTATATGTTGATGATGGATCGTATCAGGCGAATGAAACAAAACTTTTGATATTGGCAATGATTTTCTATCTACCTTTCCATTAGCATTTAAAGGTAGCTTATCAAGAATAATAAAGAAAGATGGAATCATATGTGGTGGTAGGTAAGATTGACAATGTTCACGTAGTTCTTCCTCACTGATATGAGAAGATTGAACATATGCAATTAAATAATCATCTTTCCATTTCATGACAACACAAGCAGAGATAGATGTAATGTTATGTAAACATCGTTCGATTTCACCAAGTTCAATTCTTTGCCCATGTAGTTTGATTTGATGATCTTTTCTTCCTTGATAATAAAGAAGACCATTATTATCCATTGTAACAAGATCACCTGTTCGATAAAATAGTTGACCATCTATTTCAATAAGAGCTTTTGCAGTCAAATCATCACGCCCAAGATAATCAGTAAACACACCTACTCCACCTACAAGCAGTTCAGCTTCTTGATTGATAACAGACGTCTGTAAATATTGATTCATGACCATAGATCTGTAATTAGAAAGTGGTCTACCAATTGCAACGCTTCGTGTATCCTCTATTAGTTCTACTCTGTGGAAGGTAGAAACTATTGTTGTTTCAGCTGGACCATACAAATTCCACACAGTACAGTTCGTTATGTCGCTTTTCATGATCAAATCAATCAAAGGAATAACAAAAGCTTCACCTAAAATAAAAGAATGGTAGAGTGACGACAGGATGAGAGTTGTTCCTCATTACTCACCGATGCTACAAAGTGATCGAAGATGTTTCACGGCATTTATGTTCTTGTTTTCTTCGATAAAAACGAAAAAAGCATGTAGAAAACTTGGCACAGTGTGTAGATATGTGATTTGTTTGTTCTCTAACACTTTGGATACATAAACGAAATCAATAGTTCCACCTGGATGAAACATAATTAGTGTGCCTCCAACCAGCAATGTACCAAGTATCTCTTGAACATGAATATCGAATGAACATCGTGTCATTTGTACAACTGTATCATCTTTATTAAATGAGTTAATATAGACCAAAGATTGTATACAATCAATAAAGTTTTTATGGCGAACTTGGACCTATGAAAGAACATGAACATAAATCAGATATTAGAAAAACGAAGTTTTAACAAACCGCTTTGGGTGTTCCGGTGGAACCACTTGTGAAAATAATGTAAGCTATTTCCTTCCCTTTCGCTATCACACTAGAAACGCAATTATTATCAACGTCATTATCCATATCATTCATATTTAATATTGAATCAATATCAAGTGAAACAATATCATCTTTGAATTTGGTCTTAGTTAAATGATGAACAAGAACAAGACGACTTTGTGTTTGTTGTGTAAGTGCATGCAAACGATGTTCTGGATCTCGAGGCGATAATGGACAATAGACACCACCAGACATTTCAATCGCCATTATACCAATTACCTAATCAAACACAATCTCAAACTCTCATCAATAATTATTTCTCCTAATCAACTTACCATTGACAAACTTCGCTCAACACACTGACAAATGATTTCACCTGGAAGCACATGATATTCATTAAGAAGAGTTAAAGATAAGACTTGAACATAATATAGAAGTTCACAATATGTCAATGATTGTTCATCTAGTTCAACAGCTAGTTTTTGTGGATGTTTCATTGCTTGATATACAAACTCATGATGAATGCAAATGAGAGAAGATGAAAATGGTATTTGTGAATTACTCAATGATTGCATTAAATACTGTTCATCAGATAATGTTAATGTTAATTCATTGATAGGTTTGTTTATTTGATTATCAATCATAGATGTCGATAATTGATTCAAAACGAAATGAAGTCGTTGTGAAATCTTCTGCACTGTGTCTCTATTGAATAAGTCAAGTGATGCATTAATTGTGCATGATAGTTGATTGATGTTCATATCATGATAAATAGAAAGAGAGAAGTCGGATGTACTTAGTATTTCATCTTCATCAATGTTGAATGAGAAAGATGATCGAACAAGTTGAGAATCACCAATCATCATTGCACTAT